AAAATTTATATTATATGTATAATATTATATTAATACATATATACATATATATATATATATATACATACACATATAAACCCAAAGCATATAAAAAAACTCCTATGAGTTAGAAACACTATGAACCAATATAACTCACATATTTAACTTCCATAATTATTTTATCAATCGTTTCTTAAAAAGCCATATTTTTTGTTTTGCTTTTGAAACGACGAGTGTTGTTTCACTAATAAACAACACATCAGTTGATTTGTATTGATCTATTTTACCAATGCAGTGTCGTTTCACCAATGAAATGACATATATTAGTTGATATGCATTAGTTCATTTTGATTATGGTGTCGTTTCACCAATGAAACAAGAAATAAGGTTGGTCTATTTTGTTACGCAGTGTCTTTTCACCAATAAAACATTGCATTGATCAGGTGATTTCTAATGAGGAAGGTGAGTTTTTAAAGAAATGGCGGATTAAATAATTAAAAAAGTTAAATATATATGTTTTATATTAATTCATAGAATTTTTAACATATAGATAGTTATTATTTGATTTGTTTCTTACATATTAAATATTATTATGTCTTTGTATGAAGAAGAGAAAAAACACACGAAAATTGTGTAATGATCCTTAAAATTTCCAAAGCTTGGGGACAATAACCCAAGTTTTCATAAATTTCTAGGACGAATTTTGTAATTTACTCAAAATAATCAAGTAAATTAGTTGACAAGTTAGATACTAATTAAAAAACTAGCGACGAGTTATCTGAAACATTAAAAGTTAGTTGTTAAAGTAAATAATAATATAAGAGCATCTCCAACAACTATGGTAAAATATGAATTTTGGTGTATAAAAATATTTCTTTGCTATAATGTATGTTAAATTAGAGAAAAGAAAGGAAACAAAGTGGAAATCTATAAATTTGGAGAAATATTTAAAAGAGAAAAATAATATTTTAATCTTTCACACAAAATAATGAACATTGAAATTAAATATTTATGCAAATGAAATATATTTATTAAACATTTTAATAATATAGTTAATGTTAGAATCTTTAAAATGGAGCAGTTGTTAAAATTGATTTTTTTTTTTTAAATTTACTTTTAAAACTCTATTCTATAAAAATATGGTCCAGTTATTGAAGAAATGTTGGAAAATTAGGGATTGTTTACTCAAATGTTTACCCGGTAAGCGTTTACCAATAGAAGTTAACATTATAATTTATTTAAATACGTAAGATTTTAGTACATCAAAGCATATCGAATGCAACAATTTACTAGGTAAACGCTTACCTGAGTAAGAGTCATCATCCTCACTTACCGGGCAAGACTCTTCATCCTTCTCATCGCTCTTACCCGATAAGATTCATGGCCCTTCTCATGTTCATCCGATGAGGAAATTTATACGTTAAGCACTTACCAAGTAAGTATTTAGTAAACAACCCCTTACTCAAATTTATTGTTACATAATATAATAAAAAATAAATAAGAAATATATCTTATCATATTAAAATAAATAAAAATAAAAAGTGTTTTAATTAATTATATTTAATAGACGTTCGTTGCAATATCAAACATAATCAATTGAAAAGGACCATGCCAACCACTTCCATGGGTTTGTAGGTCCTTTGTATATAATATATAAGACATAAATCCATAATTGAAAAAAGAAAGTGGAAGAAAAAATCTTTAAAAAAAATTAAATTAAAATGGGATCTTTTATTAATAGGCTTCTAAATGACATATAATGTTCATTGATAGACTCAGAAAGATCAACACGTCAAAATAAGACATGGGATAAGTAGGGTTGTAAATGATACAAGATAAGTTGTAAGTTACTAGATATCGACTCGGTCAAAGCTCGGTCAACACTTGATTCGAATAGGCTTGGCTTGAACTCGAGCTTGACTCGACATATTAACGAGTTGAGTCAAACTACCCAATACACGACTTGAAAAGCTCGTGAGATACTCGATTATTTTATATATAATTAGTTTTGAAATATAATCAGTTTTTATGATAAAATTTGTAAAATATAAATAATAAAAATGTCTTATATTTTAGATATTTAAACAAAATTATGCATTTTTTTAATATAAAAATTAATCAATTTTTTTTATTAAAATCACAATAAAAAAAAAACAAAGAAAAACTATAAAAATGCTTAGTGAAATTGTCTCACATTGGAAGAGAGATGATAAAGGAAGATAGAAAAGATGTTATAAAAAGAAATGGATGTGAATGAAATTTCTAACTTTGTCGATGATGAAGTTTGAAGTTGATTCCTTTAATTTTATAAAAACTAAGAGAACACCGTTAAGTTTTAAAATTTATGAGAAAAATACCCCAAAATTTCATAAATTTCAATGGGCGGGTTTGGTTCGAGCTTGATTTGAGTTGCAGTTCGAGTTTCATTCAAGCTCGAGTTCGAGCTCGATCCGAGTTTGAGTTTGAGCTCGATCCGAGTTCGAATTCGAGATTGAGAAATAGTTATCGAGTTCGAGTCGAGTTTTGATTTTTACTACTTACGAATTTTCGAGTCGAGTTCAAGCTTAGAAATTGTGTTTCGAGTTCGAGCTGAGTATAGTGATACTCGAGCTTGACTCGCATCATTTACACCCCTACGGACAAGAAGTTAAACAATATATTTTTGTAAGAGCATGAACGTCTGTGTTAACTGGTCGTCTAATAAAACAAACCAAATAAGAGCCATGTTGATGGAGTAACTTATTACACCTTAAATTCAATAGAGCTAACAACAACAACTTGTTTCGCATCCAACTATCGCTTCCATCAAAATAAGCATCTCACGTTCATTAGCAAGCGGAATCCCATGGGCGGAAGTTTCGAATTGTAGACAAATTGTTATCGAGGGTAGCCACATCGGTGTTAAATTTTAGAAAATTCAAAAGAAAGTCAATATTATTTAAAGAAACTTCTTAAACATGTGTTAAAACAATTTGACGACATCGTTTAAATCAAACCCGTAGTCCCTACATTGAAAATGCTTTTATGAAAAAATTACATACATAATTTTCTTTTGATTTGTAACGGGTTGATGACGAATGGCGGCCTAAAAAGAAAGTGGAAGCTTCCAAAGCAGAGATATTGAATATGGTTGGATGGCTGCTGGTGTATATATGAAAATATATTTTTGGTACGGTCTTTTTTTTTCTCGGTTTTTAATGGTTTTTGGTTTCATATTACAATTTAATGGTATTTTATATTCGGTCTTTTATTTATGTGTTTTTTGACAGTTGTTGAATGGTTTGATGCAGAATAATTAAGAGGCTCTTATGATATAGTACAAAATAAAATATAATTATTCGGTAATTATTTACAATGGAATCAGGGGGCTGAATAATTAGGGGAGACCCATGATACAAAATTGTTCAGAGGGTTTTAGAACATTAAGAGGCAGACTTTTTGTTTGTCAAACAAAGTTTACTTCTTAACGATTCAAAGATTGTCTCTTAATAAAATGATTAAGAGGTAAACAAATAACTCCTTATAATTTTATTCAAGTTATAAGCATAAAAATCAACACGATTCTTCAATGCCTTCTTTTATTTCTGGACATATTATTCCATATTCAACATAATAATCAATCAATTACCATTAACCTCGAGAACAGTTAATGAGTATTTCCCATTTCATTTCAACAAAAGATCCACACTCAAGTTCCAACCAAAAACTCTATCCTCTCTTTCTATCTATCCGCGGGATGGAAGGACCGAGTCCTTTGGTGTCTCCCCAATCAGAATTGAGGTTTGGCAAACATAGAAATCACACTTGAAAAAGGTTTGGTGTCTCCCCAATCAGAATTGAGGTCCGGCAAAAATAGAAATCACACTTGAAAAAAGTGGAAAATTAGCTAGAGGGGCTGGTGCAAAAGTTTAGAAAAATCCACCAAATTAT